TCTTTGTCTGGAAGCTCATCTGAAACCTGTCCACCATGGGTGACCCTGCTGGTTATTTAAAATACCGGTGGCATAGTCCTCAGAATCACAGCAACTCACAAGCCACCACTGCACAACAGACAGACAAGTGGTGGCCATTTGTTTTTATGTCAAAATTACCACATTCCTAGATGGTCTTTTTTGTCCTTTTCTTCCTTCTGTCCATTCTCAACACCACATTCAGAGGAGAGGTTTTGTTAAAACCTAAGTAAATGTGTGGATAGGCATCAGGCTAAATGAGTATAGGAGAAAGAGTGGTAATATGCCTATGAACATTCACAGGCTTAACAATATATTTGTACATAGGTATTTACCTTTGCTGCAATTATATCCTTGAGTGTGTGGCATACACAGTGGAGAAACTTATGAAAACTTTTTAGGCATAACACCTTTAAGAAATGAGACTTTGGGCCTGAAGGCTCAGGGTCATAATTTCAAGGGACACCAAGGTCTGTTTGCAGAACATAGTCCACAAAGACAAAGTTCTACATTCTGTTTTGGTGAGGAGTGACTGAGGTCTTAAAAGGTCAGAAGCAACCATCAAGGTACAACTACTGGTGTCTGTCTTGAGGAAAGAAGAATGATGAAAATCAAAAACACATGGAAACATGGAATATCCAGTGGTCTAATGAACCATATGAACATCAGTCTCCATTAACCTGAGAGCAGAACTAGATGGGGTCTGGCTTCCACTATGAACTGGTCTGAAAAGGATCACAATAGAAGATCCTATGGGGAAATAATGGAATAAGACTCAAAATAGCTTACTAGTGGAATTTTTGGGACTATGGCTCTTAGCCATTTTTCAGGTAAAGAAATGAACTCACCCTCATGGCTCAATTTTCAGCCAGACAATAGATAAAACTATATTGTTGCTGTTGTTAAGTGTGGTCAAGTCAGTTCTGACTCAGAGTGACCCTGTGTAGGGTTTACAAGGAGTGGCTGATGGGGAACAATAACACTGAGGATGTATGTAGAACTTAGAATGATCAACTTTGAGGTCAACAAGGCAACATTTGTCCAAGGACAAAGTTCAGCAGGGTGAGGAAAGAAAGAGGAATGAAAAATGGAAACACATAGAAGTGGGGAAAGAAATGTTTCATGTGGGAATTGTAGCCAATGAGATGAAACAAAATGTGGATGAGTTATTGAATCAGTTATTTACTGATTTGGTGTGTACACCTTCACCCAATTCAGAGCATAACATTTTTTTAAATAAAATATATGTTATAACTTGTCACAAAATAGAATTATAAACTTTCTACAAAGAAGATTCTTAAAATGTGTTCCATTTATAAACGTGTTAGTTATTCAATCAAACCTAATTCATAGTGTTCAAAACCTCCAAGGTCTTTCCCTGCACTAAGAGTAAAGACCTACAGGCTTTCCTAAAGACCTAAACAAACAAAACACAAACCTATCACAACTGAGTCAATTCTAACTCATGATGACCCATGTGTTATAGACAGAGCAGAAGTACTCCGTGGGGTTTTCTTGCCTATAATATTTATGGAAACAGATCTCCACCAGGTCTTTCTTTTACCGTGCCACTTAATGGGTTTACACTGCCAATTTTTAGGATACTTGTTGTTAAGTGTCATGGAATTGGTTCAGAGGAGCAGCTGGTGAACTGTAACCATGATAGTGCAGTTCAAACGACATTGTAGTCCAGGATGTTAATCCACAGCGCCAAACTTTTTTGTCACCCAGAGGACTTGCTAAGACCTTGTTGTTATTAAGTACCATCAAGTCAGTTCCAACTTATAGCAACCCTGTAGAGGGATCCCAAGGAGTAGCTGGTAGGTTTGAACTGTCACCTTGTGGTTAGCTCTCTAGTGTTTATCCTATAGCACCACACCAGGGCTCCTCAACTCTGCCATCTAATACCTTCCTGACCTCAGTTCCTACTATTTTCCCTCTAGTTCTACAGCAAGTACCAGTTAATTGTCTCAGGTGCTCTGCTTTTCCAACCTCTTCTGCCTATGTTTTCCCCTCCCCTTTCGTTCAGTTATTCATATAGCTGCAGGTCTTTATTCAAAAAGTCCTAGTCTGAAAGAGGCCTTCCCTTGCAGTGTCTCTATCCCCAATATTGCCACCCTCTTTCCTACAATAGTTTTTCTTCTTAACATCTATCGCTAACATTTTTTACTTACTTACATCATTTTTGTCTGTCTACCCCACTGGATTAGATGTCAGCTTGAGGACTAATGTGTACCTGACCCAAGCCATGGTTATTTTCAATAACCTCATATGGATGTGAAAGCTGGACAGTGAATAAGAAAGACCACAGAAGAAGTGATGCTTTTGAGTTATGGTGTTGGAGGGGAATATTGCAAGTGCCACGTGCTGCAAAAGAACCAATAAATCCATTTTGGAAGAAGTGCAGGCAGAGTGCTCCCTGGAGGCCAAGATGGCCAAACTTTCTCTCATACTTCAGACATATTGTCAGGAGGGACCAGTCACTGGAGAAGGATATTATGTTTGGTAAGGTGGAGGGTCAGAGAAAAAGAGGAAGACCCCCAACGAGATGGATTGGCCAAGTGGCAGCATTGATGGACTCAAGCGTGGCAATGGTAGTGAGGTTGGCCCAGAATCCAGTAGTGTTTTGTTCTGCTGTGCATAAGGTTGCTATGGGTCGGTACCAACTCAATGGTGCCTAACAACAACAACAACCCCACTGTATTGGAGTCCTGGTTTGGAGCTGTGGGTTAATGCATTGGACTGCAAAGTCAGTTCGAACCACAAGGTTGGTGGTTCAAGTTCATCAGCTGCTCCGCAGAAGCCCTATCTATACAGAGTCACTATGGGTCGGAACCGATTCTAAGGCACTAAACAACAACAACAACCCTACTGGGTTATAAACTCCAAGAAGGCAAGGATTTTTTTCTGTCTGTTTTGTTCACTACTGATTCCCCAATGCCTGTCACAGTCAATACTTTTGTGAAATGTTGAATTTCATTGAAATTATAAACTTTCTATATAAAAGGATTGTTAAATTGGTTTCCATTTATAAACTTGTTATTCAATCAGACCTAATTAATAGCTCTGAAATCAATTCTAATTATCTAACAACATGACGTCCAAACTGAGGTATTTATATTTTCTGTTTATCCCACTTGCTGGAACATTTGATAACAGCTTTCTACCACAAAACATTTTTAGATTAAAATTACTTTGCCCCCTATGGTTATCTGTGGGCACTGGTAACAAATTGTTTGCTGATGCTAAGTGAGCAGATGCTGATTGGTCATGGGGAACTCTAACAAACTTTAAATTTCAGCAAAATGCCCACAGACTGCTAATTCTGCAGAAGAATCCAGGTATTATTCGGCAGGTAAAAGATACCAGGTAACTTGGCTCTTTTACTGTTCTTGACAGCAAATAGATTTATAACATAGTTGTTTATTTTTTTCAAGATGTGTGCCATCTGCTAAGGATATTTCTTTTTTAAAGAATGAAAATTTAAAATAATCTATACTGAGCACACTGATATTTAATGCTTTGTCTTATATATAATGGAAAGTGTATTGCTAAGCTATGGAAATCATAATCTGAAATTGATGGTTTGGTAGAATTTTCTCTTGGATTTGACACTATCCTTGTATATGGTAATCAGAATATAAATAATTTTATTATATTCATACTTTGAAACATCATCTGTCCTGTCTATCAAATGCTTGGAAGGCTGAATTACAGCTAGAATTATTAAATATACCCTTCAAGTTGTTTTAATTTAGAAGACAATTTAAGATTTTAGAATATATTTCAAAATTATATGTTTCTCCAAATAAATGTTTTCATCTTGTAATGTTTAAAGGTAAGAAGAACTTTAGGGCGTTTTCCCATGAAAAAAGTCCTCCCACTCCAAGTAATCTCAGAGTGGTACAAATTTTTTATTCTCTTGTTGATTGTTTTGAAGGTAATAAAATACTTAATATAAATCAAAAGCAGAAGATAAATAGTCTAAGACTGCATTGATCTGTTTTTAAATATAACTATTACTTAAGTATTCCTGCATAAATATATTTATCAAAGTATAGATGGTACCTTTATGCAAAGCTCAATGTTAGTGTTTTAACTATTATTTTATTAAGTATGTAATAAAATATGATTCACCTTTAAAATCAGCTACATGTGAATTTTTTGCAATAAGATAAAAGAATAGAAATTGAGTAATAGTAGTATAAAGTCTTGATTAAGAACCCTAACTCTATAGCTATATTGCCTAGCTATTAAGCTTACTTCTCTCCTTCATTCCCAGGAAATCAAATTCCATGACCTTTCTGTGTCTATTTCCTAATCTATAAAACAAGAATTGTAATACCATCTCTCTTATCGGGTTATTGTGAGACTCAAATAATTGAATCTGTATACAGTTTATTAAACAGTGCCTCGTTCATTTTAAGTATTCAGTGAATGTTAGCTATTAATATAAGCACTGCATAATTGTTTCACTTTCCAATCCATGAATGACTGATAATTCATATACAAATGAATATGAGGACTTAGGCTGGTGCACCAGCCTCGTAACTGACAAGATTTCCTTCCCCATGGTGTTGCCTGCTACACAGACAGACTCACTTCAAGACCCTTTCATAAGTTTCTAAATTAATTCAGTGTTATCATGAATTATACAAATAACCAAATAATCACTATGTAAAGACAAGAGGGAAAAGTTAGAAGTGACAGTTGATGAACTGGCTTTGTTGCTTTAGTGACATTGAACAGTTTTTTATTTTCACGTTGAAATAAGTAAATATATGAACACCCTTAGCTTCAAGCAGCCATACGAGTATAAAAAATCATACAGAGGTCTTTTTCCTTACAGAAGGGTATGAACTGCTAGTGGGAAAGATGTTTTTTAAATACCTTTGTGTTTTATTTATTCATATTGCTGCAGTTTATAATTGATATTGCTTTAGGGTAAAATAATACTGACTTTCTTACAGAGAATCTCAAAGATGCAAGTTGTCTGCTTGGGACTGCTCCTTTTCAGTCTGACCTGGGCAGCGCCAGTAAGCATTTACCAATTCAGTTATGCATTACTTAATCTTTTACTCTCTTTTTCTATTTTTCTTTTAAGTAATGCTTATTAAAGCTCATTCAGTTACAATAAACAAAAAAAACAAATTAAGTCACTGCAATCCAATCAATTCTGACTCATAGTGATCCTGTATAGGACTTCCAAGGCTGTAAATCTTTATGGGAGCAAAAATGTTCATCTTTCTCCTGTGGAGTGGCTGGTAGATTTGAGCTGGCGAACTTGCAGTTAGCAGTCCAGTGTTTATTCTAAAGAGCCACCAGGGCTCTCCTTTGTTGCTGTTGTTAAGTGCCATACATAGAGTCAGTTCTGACCCACAGTGACCCTGTATAGGGTTTCCAAGGAGCGGCTGTTGACCTTGAATTGCTAACCTTGCGGATCTAACCAACTTTGCAGTCCAGCGTGTTAACCCACAGTGCCACAGCTCCTTTAATTATAATAAAAGTACCAAGTAAATAGAAACCATGCAACATTTAATACAAACGTCTGTCACAAAGGAGGGTCTCAGTTCACATATGTTTCTTTGTAACAATGAAGATAGTATTTTGAGAAAACCAATAGCAAAGCACAGGATTTAAAATCAACTGACATTAATGACTAATATGCAGAAACTCAGTAAGTCCTGGTTGCATAGTGGGTTATGAGTGGGACTGCTAACCGTGAGGTCAGCAGTTTGAATCTCTCAGCCTGTCTGCCAGAGAAAGATAAGGCTTTCTGTCCCTGGAAAGATTTACAGCCTCGGACACCCTAAATAGGAATGCTTCGAGGCAAAACTCACTACAAGGCACACAACCACCACCATCACCACCATTGTTGTTAAGTGCCATCGAGTCACTTGCAACCCATAGTGACCCTCTATAGGGTTTCCACCATGCAGACACTTATGTTACAGCATGTCAAGAGACAACTCAGAATTTGACTTGAATGTTTGAAGGCTAACAAACTAAATCTTGTAATTACGTGGCAAGTCAGAGAGAAGAGAACTGTTCTGTATTTCTTATAACATTCTAACACTGCAGGATACTTTTCATGATTTTTGCATCATTTAACAGCAAGGCTAAGTACAAGAATTATTTCTAGGTGTAACCTTATTTCCTTTTGTGTCTTTTCTTCTGTCTGACTCACCCAGATGAGTACTCAGGATGTGACAAAATTATCTTGTGAAAATGCTGAGTGCTACAGATATGTTCTGCAATGCAGACACAGTGCTAATTAGATAATGTCTGAAAAGCATCCTAACTTCTCAGAGTAACCCTTTCAGCTGACGAATCATGGAAACAACTGGTCGTTCTACTGACTGAAGTACTTAAATATAGGTCCTGAGTAGCGGTGACCAGTGGGGTAGCCAGACCGACAAGAATGAGGACAGCAAAAGTGGGGAAGCATGTTTCCTCTCAGCACTCATTCTCCTACACTCCAGTGGGGGCTGTACTGCTTAAACTGCACATCTGCCAGGTCAAATATACATATCTCAGCTCAATCAGGGATGTAGAGGCACCCGCTAAGGAAGGCATGCTCATAGAAGAGCAGGTCAAGCTGACCCAGCCCAGTCCAACCACTGAGGATAAGTTTATTTTGAGCAGCACATTCCTAAGGAACAGCTGGAATGGTATTCTCTGACCATTTTCTAGTAAATGTGCTATATTAACATCAAGTGCTCCTCCCCAAAAGGAGACAATGCCATCTCAACTCCAGAGCCTCATTCAAACAAGAGAAAACAAGTAGGTACAGGGGAGAAGGGAGAGGTGACTATTTCAGAGGCAAGAGGTTTGTTCCAAATAAAAGTAACATTTGGAATTGTAAATTATTAAATTGACAGCTTTCTTGAGATAAACATATTCCATTTAACAACTTAAATTAGTAATAATTGGTGGTAATTGACATTAGTAGATAATGAGTCACATATGTTTTAGAATTGCAATCCAAATTCAAAACAATTTAAAATGGAAATAAATGAAGACGGTGTTTGAGCCATGCAATTCAGTTTTACTAAGAGAACTTTATCTCAACCCACTGCCAGTGAGTTGATTCTGACTCCTATAAGAACCTATAAGACTGAGTAGAATTTTTCCATAGGGTTTCCTACACTGTAAATATTTACGGGAGTAGACAGCTTCATCTTTTTCTGGTGGATTTGAATAGTCGATCTTGGGGTTAGCAGTCTGATCTTAACCCACGGTTCTACCAAGACTTGACTATATTTTGTTTTTGTAGTTATTGCTAAAAGTGCCATGTAGTCAGTTCTGACTCATGCCAACCCTGTAATAAATCAAAAACTACATTATGGAATTTGGATATTTTGTAATCTAAGCATCCAAGCACGTTTTAATACTATATATGTGTATAAAGAGAGTTACTCATGTTCATTTCTTAGTATCTACCCACCCACTTTTTAATTTTTCTTATTCCTATAACCCAATTTTCAGAACTATTTTAATTATTTTGATATTTTTATAACACAATTCAGTGGTCTGAATTTATATGTGGATGACCTAAAACTGTTAAAAATCAACATAAGAAAGAAATGCAATGAAGAATGAAATAATAAAACATGCCTTGAAAGTACTTAATATAAACTCCAGGAGCATTTCCTCTTATTGCTAATATTCATTTGCTTTGCTTTTGCTTTTATGTATCATCCCATCTTTAAAATTAGCTTTTTAATCCTGGGTCTTTGTGAACTGAAGGTTTAGGTTAAAACATCTTCTCTACTTTTATTATTGCTACCAGCTATGAAAGTATAGGCAATTCTGTTCCTTCTACTGCCTATCTCACAGGGGATATTATGGGAATCAACTGAGATTATGCATGTAAAAGAAGTTTACAAACTATAGGATGTTAAATACATATAAAGTATTATTGTCCAAACACTTATCTCTTGCATAGAATGGAATACTAGGCAGATCTGTCTTGGAGATCTGTCAAGGAAGTATGTTTCTAAAATTTTAAGTTTAAATGTTTAATATTTTATCAGCCACCATCCAGTCAGGAAAAAGAACCCATGACAGTGAACGAATCTGGGGTGGTAGTAGTGGTGAACCAGTTATAAGGTATAGAAAGAACAGAAAAGATAATTCAGGGGTGTTGAAGCAACTCAAAAACTTGTTACAGTAAGAATCTATTACTATCCTAGGGCTGGAGTACTGAGCAGAGAGGTGGTGTTCCCAATGGTCTGGATGGGAACTCCTAGAAGGAAGTAAGATCTCAAAGGAGTTGTATCCTGTCTGGGGCCAGAGCTCCCATCAGCTCATCTCAGATGTAGGCAGTTGACAAAGGCACTTGGGAAATGTAGTTTATAGGAGTCTTCCCAGAAAGCTCAGAAGTACAGGAAATAGATGAGAGAACAGTAGGATAGTACCAATATCTTGTTGCAAGAAACAATTTCTCTGAATAAACAAAATACACAGTTTTAAGATTTATTTAAGAAGAAGACTAGGTGGATAAGACAGCTGGTCAAGGTAACCTATAGACTATCTTATCTTAGTGTTTTACTTACTAATCTTTTTCTTGGGGACTTCTCTTTCTTAAATCACCTTGAGGACTGCTTCTACTTTAGCAAATGCATTCAAGCATGAACCAGTCCTACCAGTGATTGTGAAGAGATTCAAAAGGAAACAGAAAAAAAAAAAAAAAAAAAGTCTTGAGAATTAAGCTGCTACATTGTTCCTTTGACAGCAAATTTGCAGCTAAGATTCTCAGATTTGGTTCTACATCCTCTCCTGTAACACCAAAACTTAAGCCTACGGGTTGAGAAAGTTACCTGGGTCTATTTCTTTGTAGTTTACTTTTTTCCCCCTAAGTAGCTACCCCTCATTCCCAGGCACACATAAATTATGACATTTTTATATTAAATCCAGAGAAAGAATTTGTTTAAATCAGTTGGTCACCTCCATTTTCCCCTTCCTTGAAAGTAACATCTGACCAGATGAGTGAAAACAATAGGGTGCTGTAAAATACTGCACACAGAGAGCAGTAGAATCTGACTTCCTCTGATTTCACTAGCAGGGAGAAGGGAAATCACCATCAGTGTCAGGGTAAATCTCAGACATGCCTCCACCCTCCAGCCTTCTCTGTTAGTACTGCTTCTGACCATTCCTCCCACAGCGCTCTCCACTCAACTGGGTTCAATAATTCATTGCAGTAGCCATGCAGAATTCAGACCATCCTCACAGTTATGGGGTTTAATAGGGCATTTAACCGTTTACAATCCAGGATTAGAAATGCTCAGGACAGCTTCTTCCCACCCCACCCCCACCCCCAGGCACATAGGCAGGCCTCTTTCTGGTCCTGGGACTCTCAGACACAGGTTCTTTGGCCTCTTCGCTGCTCCAGCAACATTATGGTGGTTGTGGTGGTGTGCCGTGGAGTCAGTTCTGGCTCATAGCGACCCTGTACAGGGTTTCCGAGGCTGAAATCTTTACAGGAGCAGAAAGCCTCATCTTTCTCCCCCAGAACAGCTGGTAGTTTCAAACTGCTGACCTTGAGGTTAGCAGCCTGACTCTTAACAACTATACTATCGGAGCTCCTTCAGCACATTATAGAGCTCCTTTAAGGCTGCTGGGAAATGCCCAAAGGTCAATCTACTCTCCTACACTCCTCAACCCAAAGGCGATCAGCTCTAGTTCTAGCAAACCTAGCTCCCCAATTTAGTGCCTAGAGGCACCCAACTCTAGAAGTAAACCTCCTGCCCCAAAGCACTCAGTTTTGCAAGCTCTGTGGGCTGGGACCCACAGAGCACTGCTCTGTGGGGGGTTCTAGCTCTTGGTTCTGTTGCTGCTTCTCCTCTGCCACTCCTCTGCTACTCGTGCAGTGAGCTCTCTGTTTCCTGGATGGAGGAAGTTCAGTGCACAGGGATCTCAGGGACCAAAGAATGTGCTCTACTCCTGCCTCATCTTCCTTGATGGCAGTGAGATTCCCCCTTCCTGCTTCTGAGATGACTCATTTTAAACTCAGTAGGATGGCAAATCGGAGTCCTGGTGTAGTGCTGCGGGTTAATGAGCTGGACTGCAAGGTTGGTTTGAACTGCAAAGTTGGTGGGTCAAGCTCACCAACTGCTCCTCAGAAACTCTATACAGGGTCATTATGAGTTAGAACCAACTTCATGGCACTTAACAACAACAAGGATGGCAAAACTGACTAATCCCCTCATTAGATTTCCACATTTTTAAAATCACAGTGAACCCTGTTAATCATCACTGAATCATATCATTCTATCAGCATTTTCGCCCACCTTCGCTTACCCAGATCCATCTGAAGGAAAAAAAAAAAATCTTATTCTAAGGGAATTACACAGACTATGAGCAGAAGAGCCATCTGAAGTAATTCACTACACTGCAGGTCCCATCCTTAGATGTTCTAACCCTTATGTGCAGGACTATGGTTTTATTCTTAGTGGACCAACCAGAGCATTATGTTGTTAAGTGCCAACAACATTTGTTGTTGTTAAGTGCGTCGAGTCGGTTCCGACCCATAGCAACCCTGTATAGGGTTTCCAAAGAGTAACTGGTGAGCTTGAACCACCGACCTTGCAGTATAATTCAATACAGCAATTACTAAATGTATTCCATCAATTCACTACCTTTCTATCAGTTTATACTACTGTTGTGGCTTGTATCTTGCAATGATATGGGAAGCTATGCTTCCAGTATTTCAAAACCAGCAGGGTCATCCATCGTGGCCAGGTTTTCATGGGACTCTCAGACTACAACAGAGTCAATAAGAAAGGCCTGAAGATCTACTTCTAAACATTAGCCAATGAAACTATGGATCAACATAGAATGTTACTCAATGTAGTGCTAGAAGATGAGTCCTTTAGGTTAGAAGGCATTACACAATGGCTAAAACTCTGAACTGAAGCATGGCAACAGTCACGGCGATGGACAACATTCCACTGAATTTCTATGGGACCACCATGATTCAGAGCTGACGAACAACAAATTTAACATACGATCAATGCACACATACAGTCCATATCACTGAACTCTGAACTTCTTTTTCAGTGGATATCAATAACATCCAAGTTCCATCACCCAGAGTGTCTTCCCTGACACTACCTGACAGTTCTCCCTTGCTTAAAAGTCACTAATACAGATGAATTTGTCCCAGCCAGCTACTCTACAGGATTTTAACCTTGGTCACCTTATAGGCACTTCTCCTCTGCCATATAGGACTGCTATGAGTGAGAATCAACCCCATACCAATGGATTTAATGGGAGGGGAGGAAAGTTGACACTGTCTTTTGTAATATCATAGTAAATGCTAATGTGTTGAGTGTGCTCATGTTCTTTTGGTCAGAGTGATTTTCCACATTTAATAATATAACCCAAAGACAGAAAAATAAATGAAACATTGGTTGCTTGAAGAAATGAAAGAGTGAATGTTCTATTTGGTGACGTTTTATGTCTTGTTTTCCTTCAGACATTTCAACCACAGACTGAGAAAACTAAGCAAGACTGTGTGGAAGAGCAGAAGGTAAACAGAATCATTCTCCTCAAATAAATCGAGTTCAGTGCTGTGAAGAGAAAAGTCAATAGGAGAAACATTTAACTATTAAAATATTCGTGGGTATTTGAAGTGGAAATGCAAAATTAGACAACACAATTTGGGTAATTTCTAGTTAATCAGGAATTATATGTCACAAACTATGTGATAGAAAAGAGGGAAACCGTCTAAGCAAAGATTTATTTCTTTCAAATTTGGTCTCTTCCTTCACATGAAGCAATAGTTTGCAATACAACTTACAGTGAGCAAGAATTTGGGGAAAGCAGTATTCTCTACAGCTGTACATAGGAGTAAAGTGACAAATAGACAAGCAAGAGAAGGTGGCTAGTAAGTTTTCATGGAAAATCCTGTTCACATGGGGTTAGTTTTCCAGATACATTCAAAAAGTTGAGACAAGCATCCTCAGTTTTGCATGTTATCAAATTGCAGTTGATTTATGCCTACCCACAGTTTCTCCTGACAATCTGAAAGTTCTGTTCTAAGAACTAACAATCTTCTGTTCTTTGTCTCAGCAGAAAATTACAAAGGCAAAATCTCTAAACTTAAAACCCTGCATGTTCATGCTGTGAGTCTTGCCATTTGACATCAGATATACCAAAAAACCAAGCTCAAGAACATCAGATCTGAATATTGTTAAACCTGACTTCTTCTAAACTCTCTTTCCCACCTCTATCTAAAAACATGTGCTCCACAGCCACTGAAATTTGGTAATAAATATATCTTGGAAAGAAGAGCAGTTGACAGTCAACCACCTTTAGGGGAAACAGATGTAGAGATAGGTAGGAAAAAGAGCAGAGTCGTGAGTGATTAATATGCTGGACTGCTGACTGAATGGTACAAGTTTGCTTCCACCCAGAGACACCTCAGAAGAAAGACAATCTGCTTCTGAAAGATCGCAGTTACTGACAACCCTACGGGGCACAGTTCTATTCTGACATTCACCATGAGTCAGAAATGGCTCAACAGCAATAGTACAAAACAGAGAGAGAGGGAGAGAGACACACGATGAGACAAAGGAGTAAGTAGCTATCATCTGGAGCTAGCGAACACACACCCTCCTGTGGCTGTAAGTAGTACTACCATGAGTCAGAGACAGAATTAGGCTTCACCCAATTTTTAAACATCTTGTGTGGTCAATATGAGAACCAGGAAACCCACCTCATATCATGTTGTGTTTTTGTAGATAACATACAAAGGTCATCATGAGAAACACGGGGACTATATTTTAAAGTATGTTTACACATCACCTGGAAGGAAAAATCAAACTGACATGAAGGTAAGCTGAGTCTCTGAGTTGCAAGTCCTTCTCAGAAGTCAAATTCTCTACTTTGCCTACGGGAAATGGTAGAGGAGACAAAGTTGACCTTTGCCTGCCATGGAGCCCCCCCTCAGGATTTGAGTCCCTTTCTCTTCAGCTCCCCAGTTCCGTGGGCCTCTCTATGTGGTCTTCACTGTTCCTGACTCATCGGATCCCTGCCCCAAGCCCTCATCTGATCCCTGCCAGGTCCACATCCTGTTCTGTTTCAGGACCTACTGCTAGAGGTGTGAATGCCATGACTTGCCTCGCTATTGCTCTGAGTTATATTTGCTCTTTTATAAGAATTTCTGAACATATTCTTCTATAGATTACTAATAGTAGGGATTTCATCAGGGGAAGTCTATTAAGAGAAATCATTTTGATATGTAGAATAGAAAATCTTAGTGTCTCTTTAATTTTTAATTTATTCCATGGATGACTCAGGAGAGAAAGAATAAAGGCCTTGTCTCTAGGGTGACAATGATCCTTTTACCCAGTGCCTCCTTGTACATTCATTGGCCAAATAGCTGGAAAACCACTTAAACTGTCATCAATAAAAGGACTATTTACTTTTTCCCAAATCTGGCTTTATCTCTGATGGTAATAACATTTTTTCCCTTCCAAATGGGATTTTCTTCTGTTCAGCATTTTTACATGGCATCCCTGAGACTGCATCTAATTGCATGACATTAAAACTTACATACCGTAATAAGTATATGCCTTACTGTTCTTATTGTGCAAGATACTATGGCACATAAAATTAATGAGAAAATATAATTCTTTCTCTCCAAAATCTTAGTTTGAAAAGAAACATAAGACATTTACACAAAAAATATTATAACCCAAGACATATTGCACCAAGTGTTATGTGAGTAGTACCAAAACAAAACTAAAGTATGCTTTTAGGGGTTTGAAGTAGAGGAAGATTACTTCTTGGCCTGGTGTTCAGGGAAAGCTACATGATGAAAACAATTGATCTAGGCCTTGGAGAGGAGTAGGATTCAAGCAAATAGTAGTGGGTGGTAGAGGCCATTCCACACGAAAAGAATTAACATGAGCCAAGGTGTGGAGAAGAAAAGGAGACCATAGGAAAGTAGCCTAGCTGACTGATACATGTTGTTGTTGTTTAGTGCCATCAAGTTGCTTCTGACTCGTAGCAACCTTGTATAGGGTTTCATAGGTTTTTTTTTAATTCTTTGTGGTAGCAAAAAGCTATTTTCAGAGTAGTTGGTGAGCTCAAATTACCAACCTTGTGATTCATAGTCCAGTGCTTATCCTATGGAGCCAATGCACTCCCAAGTGATACATAGGCTCATCATATAAATGCAGTGATGAAACAGGAATTCCATACATTTTCCCTTATGCAAATATGACTGACAATCACAGGGTGGTGGTGGTGTGCCATGGAGTCCAACTCATAGAGACCCTGTATTTCCAGGCTGTAAATCTTTATTTACACGAGCAGGAAAAGCCTCCTCTTCCTTCCATGGAGTGACTGGTAAATTCAAACTGCTGACCTTGCAGTTAGCAACCCAGCTGGTAGCCCACTAGGCTACCCGAGCTCCTTGACAATCACATTGTTGTTGTTAAGTGCCGTCGAGTCGTTTCCGACCCATAGCAACCCTGTACAGGGTTTCCGAGACTGTAAATCTTTATGGGAGGAGAACGCCTCATCTTTCTCCCGCGGAACAGCTGGTAGTTTCGAACTGCTGGCCTTAAGGTTCACAGCCCGATTCGTAACCACTACGCTACCAGAGCTGTTGATAAAACAACTCTGAGTAGTCTTCTAAAGAAATGCACACAATTCATTTGTATGCATGGTTGTTGTGTGCTGTTGAATCCATTCCAATTTATACCGACCCATAGGACAGAGTAGAATCGCTCCATAGGATTTCGTATGCTGAAATCTTGACAACAGCAAATCACCAGGTTTCTTCCCCAGGGATCTGCTGGTGAGTTGGAACTGCCAACATTTTAGTTAGCAGATGAAAAGCAATAGGAGAAGCAGAAAAAACTAAAACTTCCCACATCAAAGTACAGAAAGAAAAAGGAAAATTAGAAAGGAATTGTTTTAATCTACTGATTTTTTAAAGTACCTGTTTTACTCAAAAGGGATGATTTAGCATGAACAAAAATGAACATCCAAGTAAAATCTGTCAAGCCTCAATAGGCACTTCCACTCCTATTAAGCCTTTAAATATGAGTATAACTTAAATGTTTAAAATACTTTTTTTATGGAGAAATAACTCACAGTAAAGTTTCCTTTCTATTATCTAATGGCAAAAATTTATCTATTTTCAGATGGTACCAACCAATATAAAAGATTAGTGAGTTTGAAGAAAAATAAGTCATCTCAAATGATATCTTAAAAAGACTACAAGTTGGCACTATTGCAGACTGTATATTAGCCAGCTTAATAGGAGTAGAGGACATTTCCATAAGTCATTTTTATCTTGAGCATGAAGTATAAGCTGATTCAGCAATTTCCCCACCATTCCCAGCAGTTAATAAGGTACATGTATAAAAGCAGGAATTGTCCAAGTGGAACTAGATTCTTACCTTGAGGCAGAAAAACTAATCAAAATCCATTTTAGACAACTTGGTATCAAGGCCATAACTTCCGGGATTCACAGCCAGCGGGTGCCATCCACCAGTACATAGGCAAAGGGACCCTGATTTTGTCCATCTTCATCCACCACAGCAATCAATGTTAGAGAAGAATGGAGACTAGAAAATAAGCTGTGCATCCTATAATCAAATTAAAATCATTAGCATTATATTAGAAAAGAACTACTGTTTGATAGAGGGCTATACACACTTCTCTATGAATGATAGCTCTGAATGATGGCGCTCTGGTAGCCGCAAGGTCAGCAATTCGAAACTACCAGCTGTTCTGCGGGAGAAAGATAAGGCTTTCTGCTCCCGTAAAGATTTACAGCCTCAGAAACCCTGTACAGGGTCACTATGAGTCGGAATCGACTCCACGGTACATAACAACAACAATATGAATGATAGTTTGAAACACAACGTTAGCAGTTCAAACTCACCAGCCACTCCTTGGAAACACTATACAGGGACACTATGGGTCGGAACCGACTCAATGGCACCAAACAACAACAACATGGTGCACATGGTTAATGTGCACCAAAAGTTGGAGATTTGAGTTTACCCAGAGTCACTTCACAAGAAAGGCCTGACAATTTATTTCCAAAAAATCAGCCATGGAAAACATTATGCAGCAGAGTTCTGTTCTGACACACAGACTCACCATGAGCCAAATTGATAAATGGTGCCAATCCATCACTGAGATGGCATTTGCTTTATGACAGATTTTTTTTTTTTCTAGAAGCTTCACATACATTACACCATTTAACAAAATAATTTCATTCTCCACAAACCATTAAATGTTGGGTATCTTTTCCTCTTATTTTACAACTAAGAAAACAGAGTCAGAGAAATCAAATAAGTCTGCCAGGATTACACAGCTCATAAATGCTAGAGCTGGGCAACTAATTCTACTACCTGTGTTCTTTCCAAAATGCAACTGTTTACAATTGAGATTGAAAGAGATCAAGACTGAGAGCTCAAGAAAGACCAGCTGAGAACTCCTGTTTGTTATTGCTCTAAACCTTATTCTCTTTAATCCAGGTTTCCCTAAAACTAATTTCTTCTATCTCCTTTTGTTATCTTCTCTGCACACTTATCCCTTTAGTGTGAGCCTCCAGCAGACTGTTCTTTTCCTCTCTCCATCTGGGAGCATTCATCTATTTTCACTTTTTAATTAGCACATCTAAGACGATATCCATGTGCTCACCAAGAGCCAACAGATTGAGGTGGTGACTCAAAAGGACAAGACAAAATTAATCTGTGTGACTACAAATGATGGGCGAAGGACATGAGAGCTTTGAGACTGCATCCTCAGAGCTGATCAAATTGCCTCAGCATCTGAGGCTGCTTTAGTACCCCCACAAGAGAAAGGGTATATGCAGTTGGGTGATGGGTCTGAGCAAAGTATCTTAATAATAGAGAACTCCAAGTGGCAACATGGAGAAGAGAAACTATACGAGTTTGAAGGAAAATGAAGTTATTCCAAATATGAAAAAGATTACATATGAGAGAGGAAATAACCTTAATAATTGTTATGACAGGAAAAATGGATGCTAGTTGCAGGTAAAAAGAATAAAATTCAATTTAAAAGAACATGGAAAGGATAGACTTATCCATAAATGGAAAGATCCAACATAAAGGTAAAGTGTTCAGTGATTTAAGAATGAGAAGAACTTATACTGGGTGACCCCTGTTGTCATTGTCAAGTGCCATCGAGTCAATTCTGACTCATAGTGACCCTGTTTAGGATTTCAAATGAGTGGCTGGTGAACTTGAACCACTGACCTTGCATTGCAGTTCAAACTAACCTTGCAAACCAGCGCATTAACCTACTGCGCCGCACCAGGAGGTCCCAATTTTCTATGTCTAAATAGATAGTCTATACTACCCCACATCAGACTGACTAATATTAAGCTCATTATCTTTTCCTCCTCTCTACATTTAGCATGGTTTATTTTCATCTCTAAGCCTCCTTCAATTTGGGCACCAACAGAGGGTTTTTTTTCTTTATAATGTTCTTATTTGACCAAATGTTCACACATCATTCCTGGATACTGAAACAGCCTCCTTTTTATTTTGTGAGTCTCTTACTTCAATAACCTTGCATCCTCTTCAAGACAAACCCAAATTCTTTATCCTGGCATCCCAAGTTCTACAAATCTTGGGCATGCTTTATCTGTATAACAATTCCAAGTGAGTATGAGGTCTCTCTCCTGCTACACCCACTCCATACACTATCTCTCGAGGACTATACTCTTTGGGAATCAATAAATAGCCAGGTTTGCTAGTCCAGCTTCTTCCATGTTCCTGTTCCTCAATAAATATTTCTTCTTTTAATTTCTTAATTTTGTTGTGGTTGCTATTGCTAGGTG